GCAGCAGTGTAACGAGGGAATGGAGACAGGCATTTCCTTCTCCTTCTCCTAACTCTGCTGGTGCTGCTGATGCAGCTGCAGTCAGTGCTGAGGCATGATATGCGATGACAAAGGGTCCAAGAGAGAGCTGGGGAGGAGAGAGCTTGTTCCAAAGCAAATCCAATGCCGTAACTCAATACCAATGAGTACAGATCAGGAGGATGTCGTTATGATCATCCATGAGATGAGATCGAAACTCTGAAAATTCAAATTAGTGGTCATGCATTGTCGGGGTCTTATCTAAGCAGCCACGGCCTTCCGTCTTATAGTCTTCCCATCTTCATCGAGAGTGAAGACCTCAGCGAACAAGGCTGATTCCATATACTCACGGACATTTCTCAGATCAGCTTGCTGAGCCTCATGCTAAGTGGGTTAACAGCCATTACCAATAACACAGGTTTGAAGCCTCCTCACAATAAACGCTCCTTTGTCGATGGTTATTTCGGGCATGTCAGCGTCATCAACATCAGCCGCATCCCTACCGATTCCAGTAGTAAGCAGGATCAAATCCATTTGTTGTCTGAGAAAGCGAGAGTAATGAGTCGTAAAACTGAATATGTTACTACTTGAACATCTTCCTAAGCATGAAGTGCAGCAACTCGTTATGATCTGTTACGCTAGAGATGTATTTGGCTTCGAACCTTCTACGGAGCCTCTCAGCTACAGCATGTTTCTGTGTCATGATGAAAGAACTCTGAATATGACAACGGCCTACTATAGGGCACACCGTAGAATATATTACCAGCATAGTAGCAATAGCATGATCAATGTCCTTACTAGTGACGTAGTCTCTAAGCTCCATCTTAGCACTAGCCTCAGCCATACGGATCATCGACTCTATGTGTCTTACCTTACGATAGAACGAATGGCCTATCATCAATGATTGAGGTCATCATCAACACCTACCGTCATCGGAAGCCCGTGACTATCAGAGGCAGCTGATCTAATCTCCTTGTAGAAGTTAGCCAGCTTGTCCGCATCAACGTCTGATATCTTGGGGAAGACGCTCGTCCTATACAGCAACAGCAGTATCAGATGAGTCGTAATTGCTCCCAGTATACATGATGACCGCCCTACCTTGCATAGAGGATATATTTCCTCAGAAGGTCTTGATCGATGGGTTCGTATAGTGCTTCCGTCTCCTGGTTCCGAGGCCTCACGTTGTCGTTAGGCTCACGAGGGTGGTTTTGCATATGGGTACAGACGACAAAGTCAGCCAGACGCTCATCTTGGAATATATCTATCTCATCTCGTATCACGCATAGAGCATCGAAACGGGATAAGATGGGGTCCGTGAGGTCTACATTGTCAGTGAAGGTAAGACTAGGGTTATATCGACCTATAAATAGGACGAATGAATTGGGGGAATAGCTCAACAGTTGTACGGACCTCCGACAGGGTTAGCAGCTGCTACGACTGAGCACTTGGCTGAGAGGGATGCCACAATACCCGCTTTAGATATAGATATACTCTGCTGCTCCATAGCCTCATGGATGGAGGTACGATCAGCATCATTCATCTTATCAAACTCATCGATCAGGCATATACCACTGTCAGCTAGCACCTGCCAAGTTTTACTTCATAACAACAAGCTCTCATCGCGTTGACTAGAGCAATAGGG